CCCACCAACCCGCCCAGACGCCGCCGCTCCGAACCCAAAGTTCCCGCGTTCGAATCCCGACGTCACCCCCAGTGCACTCATTCCGCCAACTGGCGGAGGGGGTGCACGTGCCGAGCCACACAGACGACGCCGTTGCCGAAGAAAAAGTCTTCTGCTACCCAGACGAAAAAACCGTTGGCCAAACCTCCGTCCTTCCTCCCGCCTTCGACAACAGTGACCACACCGTCACCACCTTGGAACTGTTCCTGGATCTAAAGACCCGACTCGCCACTCGGCAGTAAGAGAGAGAGTGAGGGAGGGGGGAGTGAGGGAGTGAGGGAGGAGGGAGGGCAAGAAACTAGCGGGCGAGGGACAGCCGGCGTTTTTGTGATCGAGTGAAACTTTTCTTGATGGCTCGACAGACGACGAACGGTGGTTCTCGGTCGCGAGATCACGACGATTCGGAGGTTGTGTCTGAGCAGTACTCAGAGGCGGAGGAGGTGTTGTCTGGAGAGGAGGAGGCGGAGTCGGGTGTTGAGGAGGAGGAGGGAGAGGACCTGATGGCGACCCGGGGTTTCGTAGTGGACGAGTTGGAGGAGGAGGAAGAAGACGAGTATGATGCGACGTTGTTAGATGACGAGGGGGAGTTTGAGGACATGACGGCGACTCAGCGCGCGGCGGCTGAGGCTGCAATCGAACGCCGCCATCGCAGTGCGGAGGCCACACGTACGGCCAGCGGTGGTCTGCGTTCCGTTGCGGCGCTCTTCCGTGGTCTGGGAGGTGCGGAGGAGGCAGCGGCGGATGAGGCAGCGGCGGAGGAGACCATTGACGCGGCTATGGAGGAGGAGCAGGAGGTCTTCCGCGGACTCCGTGGACGTCGTGTCCGTGTCCACCGTCCCGAGGCGAGTGTCGTCTTGCAGGCTCGCCAGGCGCTGCCTGAGTGCAATGCCGCCAGCGTTGTCGATGAACGCATCCGCAGCCTCCTCAATGCTATTCTTGAGGGATTCCTTTGGTTCTGCGCCCCCGAAGAGGCGACTGGAGCCGGTGCAGAACCGGAAGGTACGCCGTACTACATTGCGCGTATTGAGGATATGGCGCGAGCAGAAAAGAAGTCGTTGGTGGTGGACTGGACACACCTCGCTGCGCACGAGCCCAAGTTGCTTGACTGGATCGTGTTGCGGCCGCAAGAGTTGTTTGGGGTGATGGATGATGTGGCCACGAGCATTGTGCGAGCACTGTATCCGAGTCTATACGAGTTGGAATGCGTGGCAGTGCGTGTGTCTGGACGGCACCGTGGTGGTGCGCTACAAACGATCCGTAGCCTGAAGACGGGTTCGATTAACTCGTTGGTGTGCGTAGAGGGAGTATGTGTTCGTCGTACTGATGTATTGCCGAAACTGAAGACACGTTATTACCGCTGTATTAAGTGCGGTTTCGATGGAAATGGGCCTTTCAGCGACCAGCAATTATCAGGTGCTGGGACGGGGTCGGGGTCGGGGACGGGGTCGGGGTCGGTAGGAGGGTCTAGTCCGTTGGTGGTGGTGTGTATAGAGTGTCAAAGCACTGGTCCGTTTGCTTTATGTCGGGAACGGACGGTGTTTGAGAACTATCAAAAGGTGACGATTCAGGAGGTGACTTCGTCGATTCCCCCGGGACACATCCCACGACAGAAGCAGCTGGTTTTGTTGGGTGACTTGGTGGACTCGGTACGACCTGGAGATGAGGTTGTTGTCAGTGGAATCTTGGAGACAAGTCAGGATTCGTTTGTGAACGCGAAATTGGCTTTTCCTGTGTTCGGTGTTTGGATCGTGGTAAATTACGTACAGAGACGGCGGGAGAAGCAATTGGAGGAGATGACGGAGAAGGACGTGGCGATAATCCGGCGTTTGGGTAGACATTCGCAAGTGCGCGAAAAAATATTGAAGTCCATTGCGCCGAGCATTTGGGGACATGTGCATGCTAAAACGGCGATCGCTTTGGCCATGTTCGGAGGAGTACGTCGAGAAGGAGGTTCAGGTGGACACAGTGTCCGCGGTGACATCAATGTGCTCATTGTCGGCGACCCCGGTATGGGTAAAAGTCAGTTGTTGCAGTTCGTTGCCCACACGTACCCTCGAACAGTGTTGACCACAGGCAAGGGTGCATCGGGGGTCGGCCTTACGGCATCGGTAAAGCGCGATCACGTCACGGGCGAGTGGGTGTTGGAAGGGGGTGCTTTTGTACTTGCTGATGAAGGTATATGTTTAATCGATGAGTTCGATAAAATGAGCGACCATGATCGCGTCTCTATACATGAAGCAATGGAGCAACAATCTATCTCCCTCAGCAAGGCCGGCATCATCGCCACTCTGCGGGCAAGGTGCGCGGTCATAGCAGCTGCCAACCCCGTCGGAGGTCAGTATGCCACGTCCCTGACGCTGCCTGAAAATCTGGAACTTTCAGATCCCATTTTATCGCGATTCGACGTTGTCGCCGTCATGAAGGACGAGGTGTACCCACTCTCAGATCAGTACCTCGCCGACCACGTGCTCCTTAACCACATACAAGCTCATCCAGACGCCGGTATAGGTGGTGATGGTATAGGTGGTGATGAAAATCTTGGCGCTGGTAGTGGTAATGGTATGGACGTGCTGGAAAAGCCGGATGAGACAGTTGTCCATGGTTACCCGGCTTGGGTGACAAATAATCAGCGTATCCCTGATCGGTATCTGCGGCAGTACGTGTTGTATGCACGGCAATTCGTGCGTCCTCTTTTGAAGCCAAGTGACGAGCAGCGCATCGTCGACTTTTACACGAAAATGCGTCAAGCAACCTACCGTTTCCATGGTAGTATGCCCATGACTGTTCGTCATCTAGAGTCTATTTTCCGTATGGCAGCAGCCAACGCGAAAATGCGTCTGTCGAATGTCATCTCCACTCAAGATATCGACTACTCTATGAGCACCATGTTCGAGTCATTCGTCCAATCACAGAAACATAGCGTAGCTCAAGCAATGTCGCAAACGTTCGCTAAGTATCGCGCACTCGCTGCATCCCCACATGAAGTTCTCCATAACATACTCAAGAATATCATCTCCCGATCTCTTGACGACCAGTACTGTACCAAACTTCTTCAACACATCGACGACGAAAGCGTCGTCGAAGTCCCCCTCCAGGAATTCAAACAACTAGCACACAACACACATCAACTACCAGAAGACTTCATTGACGCTTGGGTCAACCACCCCAAGTTTCAAACCATTTACTATCTCACGGTAACGAACACACGCACACCAACGAACACACGCACACCAACCAACACACGCACACCAACCAACACACGCACACCAACCAACACACGCACACCAACGAACGCACGCACACCAACGAACGCACGCACACCAACGAACGCACGCACACCAACGAACGCACGCACTCCAACGAACACACGCACACACGCACATCGGTTAATCACTACACACGACGAGTTGGAATCACCTTCTTGCAGCAACGGCAAGGCCAGACATTTATTGGGTGCAAAACTAGCTAGTTAGAAATGTCACTTTGCGCAAAATCTTTCTCTCTCGCTTTTCTTCCCGCCCTCCTTCGAATTTTCGTCGTCGTGCTTTACTCCAGCCGTGCTAGTATTCCACACTCTGCCGGGTCTAATGATATCGGCATTAGGTATTCGAACAGCAGGCTGACGGTTCAAAAAAAAGATGGAGAGTGCGGACGTGGTGGAGCCGTTCCGTGCGGTGTTGTCGCACTTGACGCAGGGTGGTTCGTTGGTGCCGTTGTCGTCGGCGTCAATGCCGGGGTCTTGGGAGGAGGCGCGGGATGGGCGAGCTTGGAATGCGTTGCGCCCTGTCATGTTTGCGACGGATATTTCGGCGTCGGTTCGAGGGAGTGCTGTAAGTTGCTTGGGTGGCACGAAAGTGTCCGTTTCCGTATTGGGTCCGTTACCACAACTGGCCTCGAACATCGCCTTAAGTTCGGCCATGGGCGGCTCATCCATGACTGGAGGCTCAGGTGCCGCAGCACCATCTCGGCAGGACTTGGGACTGGAGGTCACGGTGAGTCTTGCCTTGGAGGCGGCCGGTGGTCGCGAACATGTTGCCGGTCTCCTCGACCGTGCCCGACGCGTTGTGAATGAGAGTGTAGATGAGTCCATTCGCGCCGACCAACGAAGTCAACGACTACCGCAGGCGCTTCTTGAATGCCTCCGCTCCCTAGTCGACCAAAGCGCATACGCTGGCAGCGCCAGTGTCCTCGCCGTCGCTGCCGTCGTCCTCGCTCAAGACGGTGAAGACAGCGTGCTTGTTTGTGCTATCAACGCACTCGCACTCGCTCTCGCCCGCGCCAGAGTACACTGCCGAGGCGTCGCAGGCGCCGCAGCCGGCGCCATCGTCACCTTCCCCAACGCGGGCGGTAACCCCAACGCGGGCGGTAACCCCAACGCGGGCGGTAACCCCCACGGGGGCTGTAACCCCGTGGTCTGCCTGGACCTCGGGGCACGCGAAAGACAGGCGCTCGACCAGGCCGGCGCCCGCATCACCTCCCTAGTACTCGCGACCGTGCAGAATACTCAAGACGTCCTCTACTTCAGCATGCAAGGCAACGCGTGGAAAGAACCGCATAACCAAAAACTACTCCGACTCACCTCCTCCGCTGCACAAGCCATGGCCGAGCAAATCAAAGCTTGCATCGCAGGCACGGCTGAATAACCGCACGGTCGAGTAAGCCCGCGCCACGTCGCCAGGTAATGTTTGCACACAACGCGCGATGCACACGCGCGCGATGCACACGCGCGCGACGGAAACGCGCGCGACGGAAATATGTGTGCAAGCACCTGATAACAGCCTAAACTCTCCGCCAAGCCCCTCCTCCCAAGCAAACCTTCCGCCCAAGTTTTCGGCCGGGGTGTTTCGTTGTCCAAGAAGCTAACTAAACCCTCTCCGCTGAGCCAGCCCCGAGCTGCGCTTTCCCGGACGTCCTTGGACGAAGACCGTAGAAGAAAACAGAGGACGCGGGTACGTCGCTCAGTCACGGTTACAGCGGACGCGGGAAGCAAGAGTTTTTGTGTGTTATCTATTGATGCCTGTGCGGTCGATTTTTTAAGGGGACTGAGAAACTCACTTCGACTCGACTTGGAAATGTCTCAGGTAATTTCACGAACCTTGGCACACTCCCCTTAGCACACTCCCTTTAGGACCCCCCACTTGCTACATGTCCCGGTCATCGTTGCAGGGTGGTTGTTGGGGTGGCGTACACCTTGCGTTGTAGGTTGATGTAAGCAAGTTGACTCCAGTGTCCCTGGAGGTGATGTCGAAGCAGGCGACGATAAACGTGGGTACGATAGGGCATGTGGCACACGGTAAATCGACGGTGGTGCGTGCGTTGAGTGGTGTTCAGACGGTGCGTTTTAAGAACGAGAAGGAGCGAAACATTACGATAAAGTTGGGTTATGCGAATGCGAAATTATTCAAGTGTGACATATGTCCATCACCAGGGGCATACTCTTCTCATGGAAGTGGACATGCAGATGAGTATCCATGTCCGACTTGTGGTAAGGGTGTACGACGTGTTGTCCGACATGTGAGTTTCGTGGATTGTCCAGGCCACGACATTTTGATGGCTACGATGTTGAATGGTGCAGCAGTAATGGATGCAGCTTTGTTATTGGTTGCCGGTAATGAGCCATGTCCACAGCCTCAGACAAGTGAGCATTTAGCGGCAGTTGAAATCATGAAATTAAGACACCTAATAGTTCTGCAGAATAAGGTGGAATTGATTAAGGAAGAGCAATGTTTGGTCCAGCAGGAGCAAATTAAAGATTTTGTGAAGGGTACGGCAGCCGATAATGCTCCTATCGTTCCTATCTCTGCCATTCTTAAGTACAACATGGATGTCGTAGCAGAGTACATGTGTTCGAGGATAGCTGTTCCTGTGCGGGACTTCAGCGCAAAACCCGAAATGATCGTCATTCGTTCTTTCGACGTTAATAAACCCGGAGATTCCATTGAGGCTATGGTAGGTGGTGTGGCCGGTGGGTCTATTCTAAAGGGAGTGTTTAAACTTGGAGATGCTATCGAATGCCGACCCGGACTCGTACGTAAACTTCCTGATGATACCTTCTCTGTACGACCCATCCGTTCCGTAATTACCTCCCTTCATGCTGAACAGAATGAACTGCAATTCGCCGTACCCGGTGGACTCATTGGAGTGGGCAGTACCATTGATCCTTCTCTAACCCGTGCCGATGCTCTCGTTGGTCAAGTACTCGGCCATCCAGACCATATGGCCGATGTCTACGAAATACTTGAAATCAACTTCTACCTTCTACGACGTCTCATCGGAATACGTGTCAAACGAACAAACAAACTCGAATCTGCCGCTGCCGCAGCTGCAGGTAAGAAAGCGACTAAAGTTAAACCATTGGAAAAAGGTGAATACCTTATGGTCAATATCGGATCCACCTCTGTTGGAGCAAGAGTAGCCTCTGTTAAAAATGATGTCGCCAAATTTAAACTCGCCGCTCCCGTCTGCACCAAAATCGGAGATAAAGCCGCACTTTCACGACGCGTCGATAAAAACTGGCGACTCATCGGCTGGGGACAAATCTACCGCGGCGTCTCCGTACCACTCGAAGAATGCATATAGACCACCCACTCCGACTCCGCATCATCACTCCGCATCATCACTCCACTATCAGACATCCGAGCTTCAACGAACACTCTTCGTGACACACACAATACTTCGTGACACACATTCGTCAGGTTTTTGCAAACAAACTAAACGCCCGCTAGACAACCTTCACCCAGCGCGGAAACGCAACTAGCCACATACGCCCGATGTCAGAACACATTGCTCGATGTCAGAACACACCAATCCATTTTAATTTCACCGAACCATTAACCCCTGAACGGTGAGCTTTACCAAAAGATGAGCTTGGTAAGAACCAACCACATGACCGACCTCTGAATACACACACCCATGATAGACACACACAGCGGTGTATCTTCAGTTATTCTTTAACCTATTTGAAAGTTTGAGGGATCAGAAGAATTGTGTTGTTACCGTCGAACTTAAGAACGGCCTCCAGATGGCCGGGACCATCGAGGCAGTAGACCAGTATCTGAATCTCAAGCTCAGCAATGTTCAAGTGACTCCCGGAGTAAGTGCTCATTACCCGTCTCGATACGCGTCTCGATGCGGATACACTCTCTCACTCATCTGACCGCGGCAATCCGGAAGCGGCATTCCGTAAGTCCAGTGGAATAGCCCGATTCCAATAGCCCGGTGTCGAACCCGGTTCTTTTAGATTCCGATGTCTAGTTGCTTCATTCGTGGATCGGTAATTCGGTACATTAATTTGAGTCAAGCTCAACTGGATTTGGCACAGCTCCAAAGTGCCTGTCGCAAAATGGAGTTGACTGGGTAAGTGGTTGGAAGGTGGAATCTCGCCGGGCAAGTAAGTAATCGTTCGGTTGCGTGGGTGATGGTTTGTCTGGCGGTGCGGACTACACCGGCGGGTAAGTGATTCGGGTTGGGACTTGCGCCGGTGGTTCAAAGTGATGGAGGTTTGTCTCATTAGCCTTAGAGCGGCGGCTCAAATCCAACGACCTGCAGTTTGTTGGCATCTAAGCCACACGTCACCGACCAGTAGTTGGTGGTCTGCGGGTGTCGTGAAGGGGTTATCTACAAGCGGAACCTGGCCCTCGGGTAAGCGGCGGATCCGCTCGAGTAGTCGGCGCGCCTCAGCCTCCGCTGCCCTCTTGGTGCTCTCCCACTAAAGAGAAATGGTGGCGAAAAACCCGCAACTTGCCTTGGCTGATCTATAGAATCGCGCCCGACATACTGGACAAGCCCAAAACATCAGCACACTTAGCGTGACCTTAGTGTGGTATGCACCCCAGATACTGCACCATCATCAATCCGCCACTTTTGTCGTCTCGCTTGGTTACGAGGGTTTTGAAAAGCACGGGCCGGGGGGGGAATTTTATGTTGGGGAAATGCCTTGTGAGTAGCAACGCATCTGTTCGGATAAAATTGAATGACGAGGGTCCTCCGGTCGTGGGCATCCTGGCTGTGCAGCGAACGACCGAGCAGCGAACGACCGAGCAGCGGGCGAGTGTGCCAAGATCCACACAGTCGACGGTTGCACAGGTGTCCTTATGGCGTGTCGTTTGCGGAGCCAAGGAGCTGTGGTCGCTACGAGACGTGCGGATGCCTCGACTAAGTGGCGCCGTCGTAGAAGTCAGCATCGGCGACCGTGAGGCTTCGTGCCAGTTCGACGACCCGGAGGACGCGAGCATCTTTTACGACTTCCTGCGAGGACATTCCGTGGACGCTCCGCAATCCGTAACGCTTCTTTCAGCCGGTCGCCAGGCGGCTCCTGATGCAGCTTCTCCCTTGGCAGTTCATCCCGTCACATCCGAGGAAGATAGTGGACTTGGTCCAGTGTGCCAACTGGCTGGAACTGGCCAACTGGTTAGTCCATCGGCTTTCAATAGTCCTTCCGAGGAAGTTGCTACTGAGAACTCGTTAGCTGCGGCTGACATAGCTGTAAGTCCTGCAGGGATGAACCTTGCAGACATGAACCCCGCAGGGATGAACCTTGCAGACATGAACCCCGCAGAGATGAACCCTGCAGAGACGACCCCGGTCAGCGGAGAGAGCCTGACATTGTCTCCCGTGAGCATGAACAATGTGGCTGACTTCATTGCCCTGTTGAGGGACGCTTCTGCCACAATATATAACACGACCCCGATCCGAGAAGAGTTGACTCCTCTGATGGCTGCCTTCCTGAAACAAGAATGGTTGGGCCACTTGTGGAAGGAGGAGCGGCGGATTCGCCTAGGTCTGCTGGACTTGACCGATGACCCGGAGTACCCGAACCGGCTCAGTGAGCTTCTAGTACGGATCATTAACGTAGGCTGTAGAACGTCCGCTGTCTCCCTCATGAGCCATGACCCGGACTGTGTGGAGGCTTACCTCTCCTACTACTACCGCGGCCTTGACTACCAGGGACTAGACTACTGGGGTTTAGATCAAAGCGTGCTCGCTACTCAGCGTAACAACAGTCCTCAAACAGCTGCCTGTGCAGAAGGTATCAGCCAAGTCGGAATGAACATGACGACGATGCTGGTCGCAGGGCCCGCTGCCGACTCCTCGTTGGTGGTAAACGACTTCTCGAGCCAGTTCGCCAGGGACTATGCTGGCGCCTCCGACGACGATAACTCTGGCGGTGAAGACTCTGACACGGGTAAAGACCCTGGCACTGGTGAAGGCTCTGGTTCTGACAGGGGTGGGGAGCGCACTGGGAAGACGGGCACGTCGTGCAGCAGGGTCGCAGGTTTCCGATCTGTTGCGCAGTTGTGCTTGAAGCCAAATGCGTGTTTCCGGACGGAGCTAGGATTAGATCCGTTCGCGGTGTTGTTGTCTGATGAGAATATGGAGGGTTGTCTGCGCACCTTGGAGTCGTCACCTCAGGGTTTACCTCGTGCTGATTTCTTGGGTTACTGGAGGGACACGGTGTCTTTCGAAGGCGAGGCCCTTTTGAACGAGTGTGTGCAAAGCGGGCGCACACGAAAAATGATCAAGATGAGCGCAGTTCTGTCCGCACGAATTATGTACCTACGCGACGTCGTATTACCCCGCTTCCTCGAGGACCAGGTCATCCAGAAGGCCACGCTAACATCGGCCGCGTTACAGGCCTTAATTTGGTGGAGCCTAATCAACGACGGTCTGAACCAAATCATGGTCCTCGCAAATACAAACCATCACATCATACGCGGACTCATACAATTACAACGCTCACTCAAGTCCATCCCCGTTGACGGTAAACCCTCTTTTCCCCCACCC